AAGTCTTTACTGATTTTTGACAAAGGGGCTAAGCACATTCAATAAGGGAAAAACAGCCTTTTTTTTTTTTTTGAGAAGTATATATATATATTTATTATACTTTAAGTTCTAGGGTACATGTGCACAACGTGCAGGTTTGTTACATATGTATACATGTGCCACGTTGGTGTGCTGCACCCATTAACTCGTCATTTACATTAGGTATATCTCCTAATGCTATCCCTCCCCCCTCCCCGCTCCCCACAATAGGACCTGGTGTGTGATGCTCCCCTTCCTGTGTCCAAGTGATCTCATTGTTCAATTCCCACCTATGAGTGAGAACATGCGGTATTTGGTTTTCTGTTCTTGTGATAGTTTGCTGAGAATGATGGTTTCCAGCTGCATCCATGTCCCTACAAAGGACACGCACTCATCCTTTTTAATGGCTGCATAGTATTCCATGGTGTATATGTGCCACATTTTCTTAATCCAGTCTGTCACTGATGGACATTTGGGTTGATTCCAAGTCTTTACTATTGTGAATAGTGCCGCAATAAACATACGTGTGCATGTATCTTTATAACAGCATGACTTATAATCCTTTGGGTATATCCCCAGTAATGTGAAAGCCATTGATGACCTTGACAAAAGTAATTTCAGTTGAGTGGAAGAGGTACATACCCGATTGGAATGTGTTCAAGAGAGACCAGGAGAAGAAAAATTGGAAATAGGCAACTGTTAAAAGAGAATGACAGAGTAGTCAAACTGGATATCTGAGGAAATAACTTTCCTGACATAAAGAATAGATATTGTAAAGGCCCTAACACAATAGTGAGCATGGCTTGTCTGAGGAATAATAGGGAGGCCATGCCTGGAACAGAGGGAATGAGAAGTAGAATAGACAGAGAAAATGGAGGATAAGGAAGGATTATTTTGGGGGGATCCTTCTTGATGCTAGATTGATGTAGATAGAAAGCCTAGGGGATTGTGGTCTTAGATCAGGAGTCCTGGTTCAAATAATGCCTTACATTGAACATGAAAATATATATCTTATGTAACTGTAAAAGATTTCCATCAAAGGGGAACAAAGAAATGGTGTAATGGTAGGTAGGAGGATTGAAGTCAAGAGTATGTACACATAAAAAGAATGTGTGTATGTATATATAAACATATACACATATATAATAATGTGTGTATAGAGAGATAGGTAGATAGATAAGAAATAAGAGTACAATTGTATCCTGAGAGAAACTATACAGTAGAGAGTACAATATTGATGATGCTAGCGATAAGGGAGAGAAAGATGGTAGCAACGTCATTGAATTGGTTTGAGAGAAAGAGATCTAGTGGGAAAGGAGGGGAACTTTTAGACAGGAGTCTGGAAATTTCATGTATGATATCAACAGGAAAATCATATATATATAGGCAGGTGCAGGTAGGTGAAATGATATGGTGGTAGGGGTCTGTGATGGTTAATATTAAGTGCCAACTTGATTGGATTGAAGGATGCAAAATATTGTTTCTGGGTGTGTCTGTGAGGGTGTTACCAGAGGCGATTAATGTTTGAGTCAGTGGACTGGGAGAGGCAGACCCACCCTCAATCTGGGTGGGCACTATCCAATTGGCTGTCAGCGTGGCTAGAAAAAGCAGGCAGAAAGTGGAATGAGCAGACAGCTGAGTCTGTGGCCTTCATCTTTCTCCCTTGCTAGATGCTTCCTGCCCTCTAATATCAGACCCCAAGTTCTTTGGCTTTCGGACTCTTGGACTTATACTAGCGGTTTGCCAGGGGCTCTTGGACCTTCGGCCACAGGCTGAAGGCTGAACTGTTGGCTTCCCTACTTTTGAGGTTTTGGGACTCAGACTGAGTCACTACTGGTTTCCTTGCTCCTCAGCTTGCAGATGGCCTATTGTGGGACTTCACTTTGTGATCATGTGGGCCAATTCTCTTTAATAAACTCCCTTTCATACACATATATCCTTTTAGTTCTGTCCCTCTAGAGAACCCTGACTAATACAGGGTGTGTGGAAGTGTTCTTCTGAGGGCTACACTTTCCTAGTACAAATAGAAAGCAAGAGATGAGGTGGGATGGAGAGGTGGTATAGAGAGTTTGATGGGAGAGAAGCTATGAAGTAGTAAGTTAAAATGGTCAGAAAGTTAAGGGCCAGGAGATTTAAAGAATGAGTGCCTATTAAGAGTCTCATTTAAGTTAACGGTCATGAATTTAAATTGAAATGAATCATGTAGTTATATATTTTCCTTTGGCCAGATTTCTCTTTGTAGGCTCAGGCTTGTTGAAGTGTACTTAACCAGGGTTGTTATTTTTCCTATGAAACAATACAAAGTGAAAAGGCAGGACAGTGGAGGGTATATGTAGATAAGTGATTGTAAAGACTGAACATGGCATTTGAGCTAGGGAAGGAGGGGAGAGAATACAATAAAGGGAAGAAAAGATAGTGAAAATCTGGTAAGATCAATGCATTGGAGATTCTGGTGAGGCTGAAAGAAAGTAGGGTCCCAAATGAGTTAGGTGAAAAGAGAGGAGGGTATGGTCAGAAAGAGGGATGTTTGAAATTGAGATTATGGAGGGGTTCCCATAATTATAGTGACAAGGGCTAGACTATGGCTGTGTAACTGAGGTGGAGTTGAGGGCAATGTTATGGGGGAGAAATGTTCAAGGAACTGAAAAGGCCAGTTTGTCAGAATTATCATTCTTGAACTTACCAAGAATTAAAGCAGGACAACTACCTTTGAGAATGACTGTGTTGTAGGAGTTAAAAGTTTTGAGAAATGAGTGGGGAACAGTTGAAATTTTTTTTCTTTTCTTTTTTTTTTTTGAGATGGAGTCTCGCTCTGTCACCCAGGCTGGAGTGCAGTGGCGTGATCTCAGCTCACTGCAAGCTCTGCCTCCTAGGTTCACGCCATTCTCCTGCCTCAGCCTCCTGAGTAGCTGGGACTACAGGCGCCCGCCACTACGCCCGGCTAATTATTTTTTTCTTTGGTATTTTTAGTAGAGATGGGGTTTCACCGTGTTAGCCAGGATGGTCTCGATCTCCTGACCTCGTGAATCCGCCTGCCTCGGCCTCCCAAAGTGCTGGGATTACAGGCGTGAGTCATCGTGCCCGGAGGGGAACAGTTGAAATTTGTTATATGACAACAACAAAGGCTAGTCAATGACATGAGTTGTCAAAAGTTGGAAGTTTTTAGGGAGGTGAAAGGGGGATTGCTATCTAAAGGCAGCAACGAGAAGCAGCAAAGTCACTTATATAAGCTTTAGGATCTGTGGTACAGTGGTGGTAGGAGTGAAAATTCATATGCTCCTCATGAGTGGGCTTCAGGAGATCTAGAATCCCCATGGAAGGGGAAATTCAGAGAAGAGGCTTAAAATACGGAGGAATTACCGAGGGTGCACTGTGTTTTATTAGTAGAGGAGCAGTGAGAAAAGTGAAATAAAGAGGGGATGTGGACACAACCTTATGGTGGTTAGAATGTAGGAGTTGAAGGGTGTCTTGGGGTAGCTGGCACAAATGGAGATAAATGTCATCATTAGATGAGTTGTAATGATTCAAGGCAGATCAGGGTGGCAGGATTTTGAGGTTTGGGCTATGGAGGGGTGACTGTCTGGAGCTTCCTGTCAACCCCAAGTGAATTGAGGAGTGTGGTCTTAGACTTGGATCACTGGTTCAAACAATGCTTCATTTTGCTCCAGGAAACAGAAATCACATTGATCTGTAATGACAGAAAAATAGGCTGAAAGCTACACATCACATTCAGGATGGGACTACCCCTGGGGAAGTGGGAGGGGAAATGGAAATGAAGTGAAGGTCAAGGAAACCTCAGTTTTTTCTGTAACACTTTTAGTCCTTAAAAGAAAGACAAAGTAAGTATACCTAAATGTTAACAACATTGAAATCTGTGTAGTGAAAACACTGGTGTTTATTACATTTAATGCCAGGGACATTGTAGGTACTCAATGAATATTAGTTGTTGAATGAGTAAATCTCTCTGTTTTAAAAGTTTTTCCAACAAACATACACAATTCTCAAATTAACACAAAGTGCTACAAAAGCAAAGAAAAGGGAATGAAGTAAGGTGGGGAAGGCTTGAGAAATCCTTGCGGAAAGAGTGATTTTTAATCTATATAGATCTATACCACCATACATGGGGTGCAAGCTAAAGACATAGTTCTATCTCCATCTTACCTCAACGCTCTAAGGTTCTGGGTGAGTATCCAGAAAATGATCTTGAACGTTTAGTCCTTTCAAGTAAATACCGGATCCTCAATTTTCTCTTCCAACAGACACTGGGTGGTGCTATTGCCCCAAACTTCCCCCCATCACGTATTTATTACTTCAGTCTATAGACATCTCCACAACCAATGTGTCTTGTGGGCCAAAGTGCTAGGGATTAGGGATATAAAGGTGAATAACCTCAGTTGTTCTGTGATTATTATAAACTGCTATCGTGTTCAGTGGCCAAGAAAGTTGCAAATGTGACTTTTACATTTCATAGGAGAGCACTACTGTCACAGAAATGTCCAGTTGTAGGGGTGAATGGCCCTGAACCACCCACCCTCACCATGAGCACCCCTACTCCACGACGTGGCCAAGGATTAGAGTAGACAACACCGAGACCCACTTCCAACCTACTGTTAGGTTTTCATAGCGTCCTTAGGCCCCAATGGTTATAAAAAGCCGAGAGAGCCTAAATACCGGTCATTCAGCCTGGACCTCGGAGTTCCAGATGTTCTAAGCTCACTGGGCAAGATGTGTCTGCTTATTGCAGAGGCCTCTGTTATTGTGAAGGAGTGAGAGTACTCGGGATGAAGGGAATGTGGACCCTCAGGACTAAAGCAGTGGAAGAAGTCTGGGAGGTGGGGTCTGGGGAGGCGGGGTCGACTCTGACTTCACCAAGCCCCTGATCCTGGAGGAGAGGGAGGACGCAGGCTCTGGACGCTCTAGCGGAGGAGGGGAAGGGGGCGAGCCCGGAAACCTTTGCCCAATCAGAGAGGGCTGGGGCGGGACCTGCTACAGGGCTTAGCACTGCAGGGCTCTGCGCGGGAACGCTAACCTGGTCCGGAGGAAGCCTGTGTCTCAGCCCCACGGACAGCCTTTCACTAGTCTTCAAGCCTTCAGGTGAGGACCTGCGGCCTCACAGAAGCCAGAGGACCATGGGGATGGGAAGGCGTCGGGGTTGCGAGGCGGGGGATGCTGCGCCTTCGGGAACCAGAGGAGCCGGAGTTGGGGCTGGCGCTTTGCGTCTGCACCGCCGCCCGGCCGAGCAAGTCCGCGCCTTTGTCTTCCTAGGGCGCCGCCTTCTGCGCGCGAAGCCGAGCCCTCCCGGGGGCTGGTCCCTGGAAACAAGGCCCCGGGGTTGGGAGTCGCGGGGCGCGGACCCTTAAAGGGGCCCGTCCGCAGTAGCTGCAGGTCGGAGGCTTAGAGGATGAATTTGGGGGCCGTCCGGAATGGGCCCTCTGGGGCTGGGTCCTCGTTCCTTCCCCTCCCGTGGCCATTAGGCTGGGCGCCAGACAGCGCTAATAGTTATTTGAAAAAGTATGCAAACTGCTCTTGACAGACTGGCCTATGAGCCCGGCCCTGCTATTATTTATTTGTTAGTTCCAATTTCCCAGCTCCGAGCTTGGCGTCTGATCGCTTGGCAGAGGAGGGTCTTAGGGTAAACTTGACGGAATGGAGGCATGTTCGGCACTTCTGGCTGCTTGGGGGCCTCTCCATTCTACTCCAAGCACTAGTGATAGTATCCTACTCCACGAGGGTGGGGCTGAGCTCGCGCAAGAGAGCTCTGCCCTCCGATTTCTGGAATATCCTATTGTCTCTTCTGGACAAACTCGGGACGCTCACAGGGCACCAGGCATTTCGTCAGGTCCACAGCCATGCACTTCTGAACCTCATCTCCTTGCAGAGAAAACATGGTGAAAGAAGACTTACTTACATTTGGTTTATCCCATTCTGCTGAAGTCCTGGGTCTGATCCTAGTTAGCTGTCCCTTCTTACAACGTTTATAAACCAATGCCACGAAGAGCTGTTATGAGACGTGTATTGTAATGCCTTAATGTACTGTCGTCTTTGGGCATTTAAAATAGATAGAAATCAGTACAACATGCCACTCTGTGTGTGTGTGTGTGTGTGTGCTGCTCCCCATCTCCTAAAAAAAAAAATGCCAAAAAACAAACGTATTTTTAAAAAAAGTGGAGATGCTCGAATAGTGCTCTCTCCTGTTACAAAATCATTAACTGGTTAAAGCCAGTCTTTATTTTTTCTTCTGTCCCGGTCTGTTCTTGTGCTTCTATCACCTCCATTTTACCCTTGCTGTGATTTTAAGAGTCAGACATATTGGCTTTGGGTTTCTGGAGCATCTTAGTTTCTGGTGCATTCTGATCCAATGGCATTTACTGCCTATCAAAAACGGGGTAATGATGTGGAGTTAAAATTTTTCTAACAAAAATATTAGTTTTCTAAGATCTGTTGCTGTTTTCCTGTTGAAAATGAGCAGGTGGAATATACATTGATATGAAATGTGAAAATTTTTGCTTGTGACCCTTTAGTTCGAAGATAGTTCTGCCAGGTAAATTTTCTTAAAAATGTTTTTTCTTTTCAGGCTATCTTCTAGTCAAGATGAGTGATAAGCCAGACTTGTCGGAAGTGGAGAAGTTTGACAGGTCAAAACTGAAGAAAACTAATACTGAAGAAAAAAATACTCTTCCCTCAAAGGAAAGTAAGTCTTGGGGGGTTCTAGTGGAAACAAACAATAGAGAAAGCTAATAGGCTCAGTAAATAAACGTAACTTCTAGTGAATTTTTGCCACAAAGTAAGCAATAATTAGAGTACCATGGTATTTAATGTTACAGTTAAAAACATCAAATAGTCGTCTTCCTACTTGGGTTATATAAGTAGTTCTCACATAAGACTTAATAGGAATAGGGGGAAACTAGTTTCTTGTTGGAAAATTACTAAAAACCAACTTAAAAATCAATCTTGGAATATTGGATTTAGCACTAGAAAAATCTTAGTTTTGTTCACTTTATGCTTATTAGACATTTTCCTGCATCCATCAGTTTGGGTCAGTGGTCTTATACCTAAAGGTCCATGCAAACTTTGCAGTTTTGGCCTTCTCTCTCTGATGATGAGATAAAGATAATGAACAAGTTTAGATCTTGGGTGCACTTAGGGCTTGTAGACTCAAGGGATAGGTGATCAGTTTTGCCCTCCAGAAATACAGCCTGGTGGAGAAACTCCAAGTGTCTTTGCAAAAGTTGAGGGGAACTTTTTGTCTTGTTAGCTTTGAGAGTTCCAAAGTTAGTCAAAATTGTCTGAAAAGGTATAACTTCCTAGTTGTATACAGATAGATAAATCTGAAGAAATTGCTTCATAGCTCAGTCATGAATCATCTATGAAAAAATGGCAATGGCACATTTCTGTCTCTCAAATGGGAAAAAAATCCTCCACAGTTATAGATTCTAATGAATATTCCAGTAGTTAACATACGCACATACATGCGCACACCCTAATGTGAGGATTTGTGGTTAATGCCTTGGCATTCTAAATTTAAGGCATGTATGCAGACTTCAATGACTTAGCAAGGAGCTCTTTTGAAAGAAACTGAACTTAATCTTAGGTAAATGCGGTTAATGATTTTTGTGTTTGTCTTTCCAGCTATCCAGCAGGAGAAAGAGTGTGTTCAAACATCGTAAAATGGGATCGCCTCCCAACAGCAGATTTCAGCATTACCTGAGAGTCTTGGTTTTAGACTTGTTTTTTGTAAACCCATGTGTTTGTAGAGATTTTAGGCATCTTCTGATGTCTTCTCACCTTTGTTCCCTGGCTAAGAAGTCAGAGGTAGCCAGTGTTTCCTTAAATTCATTTTTAAACTTACCATTGGTGCATATGTTCTGGATGGCAGATGCTGTCAATAATCTCACCATCGATGTCCTTTGTGTATGTAGTTCTTGCATCCTATACTGCATAAGCGTGTTTTAAACTGCTATGATGGGTGCTTCCATTGCTTCATAATCTCCATGAAGTTGCGTGTTTTTGCAGCTTTTCACAGTTTATTTGCATTTCTAATGTAGTAATAAAGTAACCAATATAATCATTATCTTGAGACTCCTGTGGTTGACTCTTGGTGGTCTTCTGTGGAATGAAAAGTACACACGGATATACTTTTCAGCCAAACAGAATGGTTGAAGGAAAACTGTTTTAGCAGATTATTCACGTGGGAAATGTTCACTTCTCTCCAGGTCTAGTGGGTCCTGACTTGGGGATGCTAGGTGCTTTTTCTTTAGAGTTGGAATCACAGAGTTAGAGAAACTTGGGAAGGGAGATCATGTGGACTAACCCCCTTATCTCAGAATGAAGAAATGAAAATACAAGGTCTGAAGTGATCTGTTCAAGACGAATATTAAAGAGGAGTGCTCTTGCCTTTTGGAAAATATTTTTCAACTTAATGGAAGGGGACACCAAAGGCTGGGGTTGGATGGGGAAGGGGCCAGAGGCACGTGCTAACATGCACTGTACTAAACATAATATAACTTCTGTGGAGCATAAATTCATATCTAATACCTGTTAATGACATGTAGTAGAGAACTTCTGGTTTGGTTTTTGTGTAGAACAGAATTTGCTGTCTTATGAACCAAGCATTTTTGGTGTTCACAATGAACATAAGTGCTATGAATTGAATTGTGTTCCCCCAAATTTGTATGTTGAAGCCGTAACCCCCAGTGTGATTATATCTAGAGGTAGGTTCTTTAGGAAGTAATTAAGATTAAATAAGGTCATAAGGATCAGGTTCTAATCCAACAGGACTGTAGCCTTAAGAAGAAGAGGAAGAGTGAGAAAAAGAGGGAGAGAGAGAGAGTGATCAAGAAGAGAGCGATCAAGAAGAGAGCGATCGAGAGAGAGAGAGAGAGAGAGATCACTGCCATGTGAGGACATATAATGAGAAGGCGGCTGTCTACAAGCCAGGAAGAGAGCCCTGCAGGACCTTGATCTGGGACTTCTAGCATCCAGAACTGTGAGAAAGTAAATTTCTATTTAAGCCACACAGTCTATGATATTTTTGTTATGGTAGCTTGAGCTGATTAATATAATAAGGAATACATATAAATGCAAATGTCTGAATCCATGCCCTTAATACTTTCATCACTTTAAATTTATTCAAGCCAGTTACATATAATCCCACCAATTAGGAGTGTTAACATTTGCGTGTACTGTATAACCATCCTGACTGTGGCTCTATTAATCCAGACTGTGAGCTTTTTCTACAAAAAATAAGTAAATTATGCTTTTAGCACCTATTTGCAACCTCAAGTATTATTCCTACCTCCCTTTCCTAAGGGCTCATATCCTAAAACAAGAAGTGGAAGCCATTTTTTCTCTACAGCTTAAATTTCCACAAGCAAAACAGTAGGTGGGTCAACTTTGATCAAGTGCCAATGAAGTGACACAATCACAGGGCTTAGTGTAGCCAGAGGATTTGAACCTTGGAAGTAACCATGTCGGTCACCAGTAATTTACCTCCTATCTGAAACAGTTGTCCAACAGTCACTCAGCCCCTTGCAATGACATGCTATTTATACTGTGTCTCAAATTGCCTCCCTTCAGCTCCTATCCAACAGTCCTCAGACAGTTTTTTGGATACCTTCACAAGGTAGTTAATCTACCCTCCAGTATTTAAAGTCAGCTGTTGTGTGCCTGCCCTCATACCTCGAAGTCTTTTCCAGGAGACACTTCTCAGATCCTTTGGACCCAAGTCACATGGATGGGGAACCATGCTGGTTGCATGTTAGGTGTGCCCAAGTTTGCCATTATCAGATTTCTTTGGATTCTGATTCTATCACTGAACACGCTTGCTCTCCTTTCAGTGTTGCTACTTGCAAATTTGATAAAAATGCTGTATATCCATGAGAGATCCAGCAGCCTCTGTATTTGTACACTAATCCAACTCAAGATTAGGCCCATTTCAAAGGGCCTAAAGGAAAGCATGAATATTGTCAGGTAAGCTGGGATTGGACGATAACTCCCAGTGTTCAATTATACCGGGTATCTATCCTTTTCGTTAAGGCAGTGATTCTACCCTGGGTAGTATAAGTGGTAAACTGAGAGGGAGCAGATGAAAGGTACATGATGAGAGGTGAAATAAATGTGGTTGCTAAATGAATATTCACACAAATGAGATGGGAAAAACATTTGCTTACCTGCTGTAGATTTTCCCTGTATTTTTAAAATAATGTCGGGCTACTCTTTTAGCTACAAGGTTCACTTGTCTTTCCCAACCAAGGGAGGATTTTTTTCCCATAAGCCCAATATAAAAAGAGATTGAGATTTATCAACCTGAATTCATTTATTAATTGCAAAACTGACAGTGCTAAGCCTTTGTTGTAGCCTTACGTTGTTGTGCGCAGTTACATTTATAGAGAAAGGAAAAAGAGGTAACATTGACAGAGCCTGGAGTAGATCTAGAGCGTGCTGCATGATAGAAATGCATTTGCTAAGTGAAGAAACCAGGGCTCATAGAGGAAAGGAGACATTTTTCAGGTCACACGTGAGAAGTTACTGCTCAATACATAAACAAGGTAACTTAGAACAATGTACAGAATGTAGCTTAGATTTGTGATGATTATTTGTGAATATATCCAGGAGAACTTTTCAAAGTGTGGTCTCTTAGCCATGAGCATTAGGATCAGCCTTGCTATTTAGTGTGTATTCCTGGGCCTCATCCCCAGAGATTCAGATTCAGTGAGAGCAAGGCATGTTCTCTTGTCATAATTTTGCAAAATTATGGTGTATATATTATTACTTCTTTCCTTTTATGATTTGTGACTTAATCTTTTTTTTTACAACATCTATCTTCTATGTCTCTCTCACTTAGAATGTTTCCTTCCTGAAAATTGGTATTGTTGATATCTTGAGAGGAACAGATGGAGTAATCAGTCGGCAATACTTTTACTTTAGCTTACTTGTTCTCCAAGTATTGGTCCATGGAACAGCACCATTAGCATCACTTGGGAACTTGTTAGAAATACAAATTCTCAGGCTCTATCCTAGAACGAATGAATCAGAAACTGGTGGAGGGGCCCAGCAAACTGTTTCAACATGCTTTTCAGGTGATTTTGATGCATATTCAAGCTTAAGAACCACTGCTTTAGGTAAAAATGAAAATGCTTTCAGGACTGGGCTGTAGTAGGTAGCTAGAACAGACACTTAGGAAAACATAAAGTTTTTTTTTTTTTTTTTTTAATTCAGCAGGCATTTGTCAAGAGCCAATTACATCTAAGTATGTGTGCAGAGAATGTAAGAGATGAATAAGAGACAATCCTTGCCCTCCAGAGACTTACAATGTCATAGAAGGGATAAAGTAAGAATGCCAATGGCCAAATAAAGTGTGTGAAGTGTCTTAAATAGATTCAAAAGTGGGAGAGCCATATCTTGGGTGGTGCATATAGCTTTTGCAGGTCATTGTGCTGTAACACTCTCTTGCTTTCAGGATGCACTGACCTACGATGATGCATGGACAGAGTACCCTTGTTAGAGGTAAGAAATCAAGTAAGATATAATAAGCACATTCATATGAGGGAAAATGTGTATTGTACATGCTTCAGCATCACGAGTTTCCATGCAGCTAGGTTTTGGATCTCTAATTTATTTTCATGAAGGCTGGACCTGAATTTTAAGGGGACAAACAACTGGTAAGCAGAGAATTAGTGGAGGCAGGGATAGCTGTGGGGGATAATAGAAAGGAGCTGTATTACTATGATTATTGTTGTTATTATTACCACGTGGACAAAAAGAATACAAACATTCTTTACTTTGGTCTCTTTGCTTTACATTGGGGGCGGGGGGAAATGATGTAGTTTTGTCTTCTAAATCAAGCCCTGAGATTTTCCAACCGCTTCAGAGCACTACATTTCCCACCCTGTGTTAGATTTTGTTAAAAGAGATTGGCCTATGGATATAAAAGCCTTTTCTTGACTTGAGCAGAAATTCTCTGACTTGGGGGAGGAGAGTGCTTCTGGAAAAAAAGGGACCTGGCTGACAAGTCACTGCCTTCAGTTCTGATCAAAACCTCAGTGAATCAGCCTGGGTGTGGTGGCTCATGCCTATAATCCTAACATTTTGGGAGGCGAAGGCAGGCAGACTACTCGAGCTCAGGAGTTCAGGACCATCCTGGGAAACATGGCGAAACCCTATCTCTACCAAAAAATACAAAAAACTAGCCGGGCATGGTGGTACATGCCTGTAGTCCTAGTTACTCAGGAGTCTGAGGTGGGATTATCACTTGAGCCTGGCATATGGCGATTGCAGTGAGCCGTGTTTGTACCACTGCATTCCAGCCTGGGCAACAGAGTAAGACCCTGTCTCAAAAACAGAAACAAAAACAAAAACAAAAAACCCTCAGTGAATCAGAGAGAGGAAAAATGGCAAAAGAGCAGTCTCCAAAGACATAAACGAAATTGAGGATAGTTATGAATGTATAAAACATCCTTAAATATTTATCAAATTTAAAATTGTTTTCTTCACAGTAATTATTCCTAGAAGAATACCCAAACTGAGAATGTGTTACTGCCATTGGCTTAAAAAATTGTTTAACTATGCCTCTAAGTAACCACCTTAGGAAGAAAAAATATTATAGGAAATTTTTTTTTACCAAAACAATATTTCTTTCAAATATCTATGACTATTTTGAATATCTATATTAGAAAATATTGATGAAATGTGAGAATTACAAAACAGAAATTACAGAAGTAAAACCCTTCCCCTTTCCTACAAAAAAAAAAACAAAACAAAACACTTAACGACTAAGAAGAACGGAAGTAACAGGTTATCAATGAGTTACCATCTCAAATGCCCTGTCTTCTAAAGATGTTTCCTGTCAGACTATTGAAGATCAGGTATTTCTACTGCCAATGAAAAGTGTGCATACTATGAAAAAATAATTTTATTTTTGTTTAAAGAAAATATGATGATAAAATCCATTGACAAGAGCATGGCGAGAAAGAGTTCTGGGAAACCATACCTACAAATGAGAATACAACAATTCTATATGAAATATTAACAATCTAATCTGGCATTATATTAAAAGAAGAACCTAAAAGCACA